ATGGGGCTCAGCGGCGTTCCCATCTCCGACGAAGGCGAGTGCGCATAAACGGTGGTTCAGATCCTGAATGTGGCTCTTAGAAGTCTGAAAATGCGAGATGAGCTGTGTAAAGAGTTGCACGAGCAGGCATAGAATAACATCAATAGGGAGGCGTGGCTCAAGGTGTGGCAACATACAGTATGCACATGGCGCTTCAGCCGCCCCGCTAAGGGTGCACTTTGGGACGCCAATTACAGCGTATGTACGTGCGATGACAAACATACGCAGTAATTGGCGATAAAGCCGAAGGCAGTTGCGGCGTGGCACACGCTGACAAAGACAGCAAAAATCAAGGCAAGGCGGAAGGTACGAACGTCGGACATGGTGGTAGTGATTACCAGGGAGAGCTCTTATCACCAAGGTATTTTTTCTAGACAACATCACTGGACGTGCCGTACGATGCCTCCACGGCAACTGCGAACGTTGTGCAGGTGGGTGTCAGTGTACGAGCACACCAATGTGCATCGTGCGCAGATTTGTTACCTCTTTCTGGCCTGGCTTCATACTTGTGCTTAGTCCTTATAGAGCATCGTGTGTCAACGGTTAGTTCGCAATACTTTTCTGACTTGGCCCTGTGCCATGGTCATTGCTGTGCTTGGTGTAGTAAGTAGCCACAAGCACTGAGTTGGGCGCTTTCTACACATTTGGGTTGTTTGAGCACACGCTGTACCCCACTCTCCATGACAACAACATGGGAAATGACCTCAATCAATTGATGTGGGCATGCCACAAAAGGACTGCAAATGTGTGCAGCTGCATCTGTACCTCCCTATAGCTTTGGCCATGTCTACGCATATCATGTCTAACAAATGTAATTCATCTCTTCTCTTTCAGCAGGTGGCTACTGGGCATTGATAGGAAGGTGTATATGTGGGACGTGTTGATGGGGCCAGTGAGCTGAGCTTCCGGGAGGGGAGCAAGCGGGACGGGAGTGGTGCATGGTCTTGTGTAAGAATTTCTTTTGAGACGACACGGATGCAATATCAGACCTCGTATTTGTCCACCTATCTTACCTGTAAGCAAAGTTGCAGTATGAGGAGAATCTGATCCCTGCCATCATGGAAGACGTGGCTCACATGGCAGCACTCCATGTCGCACTGACCTTTGGCCAACTGTCTGGCTGGCAAGCGCCAATGTGAGCTCATGCAGAAAGAGATGTGGAGACGCCTCAGACGAAGGTTGAAAATTTTTGGCGAGTTGATGGGGAGGTTGTAGAGGGCAGAGCAAGAGGGACTGCTTGCTGTGTGTCACTTTGCAGCTAAATTCCAAGACCAGCTCATGTCATTAGGAGGTGCTCATGTGGCTGGCTGCCTCCATTAGCACGCCTGCTCACCACTTCATACCATCTTTCATGCACTCCTATTACTATGGCCACCCTCCCTCCCCCTCTCTCTCCTGGTGCCCATCCGTGCAAGAATTGGGCAGCAGAGGTGGAGCGAATGGCTACAGAAAATGGGGTGCACTGCATGGATCATGGAGGTACGAGCCACCTCCATGACCAAACCGATGCGTCGCTCAGCGACCCCATTCACCTGTGTGGAGTCCAGAAGGGTGTACGACTAGGTGATGCCATCCACACGAAAGAACTGGCCATGCCGACTGGAGGCAAACTCACTGCCACGGTCGGAGTGGAGACGATGCACTGGTTGGGCACGGTGGACTCGCGCAGCTACAAGCCATGGGATAAGAATGTCAGGCCCGTCGGCCTTCAGCTCCAGGGGAAACACCGTGGTGTAGCGCGTGTAGTCGTCTAGGAGCACCTGAAAGTAGCGCTCGCGACGCGGCCCAGGGACGGGGGCTCGGCCCCAGACGTCCATGTGCAAGGTCTGGAGTGGCGCGGTGGCAGGGCGAAGCGAGGAGGAGTGAGGAGCACGGCATAGCCAGCCCTCGATGCACGGCGTGCCCGGTGGCACAGGCGAGGGAGGGAGGGAAGGGAGTGATGCACGGAGACCTATGACAAGACAGTGCTGGGACATGTGACGCAGACGCGGGAGTGCAGGGTGAGCTAGGCGGTGGTGCCTCAGCAGCGACGGGTGAGTGAGCGACCGACACAAGCAAGTCGCGGCTACCTGGGGGGATGCCCTCACCGGGGGGGACACAGTGTCAAGCGTAAACAGGCCGGACACAGGGTCTCGGGGGAACGTGGTCAGAGGAGCACCAGTGGCAGTCTCGGTGCAGACCGCGTACCGCTCGTGTCCAGGGAACGTAGTGGTGACGCCGAGGTCGTGAAGACAGCCGACACGAACTAGGTTCCTAGAGAACGAGGGGATGTGCAGGCCTGTAAGCGTGCCCGAGGGGGCTGCCGAACAGGGAAGGGTGGTGGAGCTACGTGCAACTACCGGACCTGAGGAGGGATCTGCAAGTGCGATGGCAGCAGGGGTGGCAAGCGGTGTAAGGGAAGTGTGGTCGCGGAAGAAGCAGGTAGAGGCACCAGAGTCAAGCATGAAGGAGAGCAAAGCGCTAGCGGCAGCTGGCGGAGGGGCTAGTGTGGAGCCTAGGATAAACAAGGCAGACGGTCCTACGCCTAACATAGCAGGGGAGCCTAGACTACACACAGTGAACACACCTACGCTAGGCAATACCGCGTAATAGGGTCCAATCACACTAGAGTCATCAACATACATGACAGACATAGCATTCCTAATCTGATCCATGCCAAGGTCAAAGACTGGCACACGACGGCGAGCCAGGGCGTACCAGTCCAGAGGGTCCGATGCAGGACCGAAGCGGTGGTGGAACAGGTTGTCCAGGTAGCGGTACCAGTGGTCGGCGGTGTGGCCATGCCGGAGGCAGACAGTGCCGCAGCGAGGGCCGATCTGAAGCTGGTAGTGGCAGGTGACCGCGCTGGAGCTGCCACCTGACACCGACCTGCGCCCGCCCCCCCCACGACCACCGCCGCCAGCGCCGCCAGTCCACTACGGCGGTGGGGGTCCCCACGGCGACTGCTGCTGCTGCGACGTTTGCGGCGGTGGTTGCGGCTCCTGCGGCTGCCGAGTCTGCTGCTGCTGCTGCTGCTGCTACTGCTTCTGCTACTGCTGCTGCTGAGGCTATATCTACTGCTGCGGCTGCTCCGGGTCACCAGCCCCGGTCCCCTTGTCTGAACCACCGTCCCCGCACTCACTGCCGCCACCCTCCCCACGGCCACCCCCCTTCCCCCCACCACGCCCTCCCTTGGTGTGGCGACCCTTACCCGGACGCCTCTGCGCTGAGGGCGCAGTAGCGGTCTCAGCAACGACAGCAGAGATGTCAGAGTAGGTGCACTAGGAGGGAGCACAGCCCTGAAAGATAGGTACCACCGCAGTACCGCTAGACTGAGCGATACTGCGCTGGCGGGTCTCTATCGCACACAAGGCAGTGACAAAGGCGGTGAGAGTGAGGTCACCCGGGTGCTGACTAAGGAAGTGGTCGCAGGCTGTGGCTAGGCGGTGAGGAAGGCGCGTGGCGATGAGATAAAGGGTAGCGCAGAACGGCGGTGGGAAAGCAATGAGCTGTGCCTCAGTGCTAGCAGCGTGGTAGCTCATCTCAAGCGCGCGGAGGTGAGTGGCAAAGTCGGCGACAGTGGGGAAGGACGCAAGATTAGGGAACAGCATGGGAAGGATCACGCGACCAGCAGAGGCAGTGGTGGGGGTGGAATAGTGCGCAATGACATGATCTAAGAAGGCCTGGGCGTTTGCTATAGTGGTAAAGTGAGGACGTTCAGACAGCAGGAGCGCACGGCTGATAGCAAGCTGGGCGACAGCGTCACGCGAGTCCAAGATGGCACGATCAAGCGCAGCAGCAGAAAATGCCTCCTGCTCAGAAGTGGTGGGGGCATCAGAGAGGGAAGCAGGGGCAGGGGGGCAAGGAAGCAGGCCATCGATATGCACAGCCAGGGAGTGACCGTTCGGACACTGACCTGTAAGGTGACGCCGAAGGTTGACGAGCCACGCCTCAAAGTCGAGCGCCCGACCCTCTGCGTCCAACCGGAGCGGTGACTCCGCCATCACCATTGCTGCAACTGCGGACGGCCGCTAACAGGGCGAGTAGGACAGGTGGAGGGAGCGGTGGAGAGAGGTGGAGTATGGAGAAGAGCGGCAGAGTGCGATGCAGTGTGGTGGAGAGCGGTGGAGAGCGGTGGAGTGCGGTGGAGTGCGATGTAGTGCGGTGGAGTACGGTGGAGTGCGGTGGAGAGTTGTGGAGATCGGTGAAGAGCGGTGGAGGCAGACGGCAGGGGAGCCGGCGCTGAAGGGAGCCAGAGCCGGTGGGTCAGCGCTCGGAATCAGCGGTCCGGCGGCTGGCCGCTGAAGCAGGGGCCGACGAGGCAAGAGCCGGCTGGCTGGGCGGCGGGCTGGCCAACTGGCTGGCGAGGGCCGACGAGCGCACGGGGCCAGCTGGGCGCGGGCGGGGCCGGCAGGGCGCCAACAGGGCCGGCTGGGGTGCTAACTGGCCGGCGGGGTGAGTAGTGCCAGAGAGGCGCACGGGACCGAGGGGGCGCTAACGGGGCCGGTAGGGCGCGAACAAGCCGGCGGGGCGCTAACAGGCAGCTGGGGCGAGCGGGGCTAGAGGGGCGCATGGGATCCAAGGGGCGAAAACAGAGCCAGGAGGGCGCGAACGGGCCGGCGGGGCGCTAACGGGCCGCTTTAGCCTTGGTGCAGGCGTCATGTCGTGGAGGTCCACCTGCTCGTCGTCTGTTGCACAGTCTAGTTGTGAGGCTGAGATCTACGTCTGTGAGAGTATGACCCCGTTACACCAATTTCCCTTTCCATCTCTCCTTTCTATTTCATTCCTCTTTTGGTTTCCTAATTCTCCTATTCCATTATCCTTTGGTTTATCCTGATATTATGATTATATCACCGACCAGACTCGGGATGTACTGGCGCGCTATATCTAGCGTAATCCTGCCGTAATCCTTTAAAGCCAATAGCCTCGCGTGGCTATACGCAGGGTGATTCTATTTCTAGAAGGGTCTAATCCCTTTGGATAGGATAAACATGGTTACCTAATGTACTTTGGAAGTATAAAAGCGCCTTGTATCAATCGAAAGTGCAACTTTTCCTCGACACATTCGATCCTGTAACACATGGTATCAGAGCTTTTCTCACTCAGCCGCGCTCAGCTAAGCAGGAGCAGCGGGAAAACCTGCTTCGAAAAACCGCCGGGGGCGACTAATTCGGCGCGGATTTTGGTAAGCACCAGCTCCGCGTTTTTTGAATTCACCCCTCCGCGCGTGTTTTGAACAACGTTGAGGTTACCCAGCAGTTCTTCACGAGCATCGCCGCCCTTCAAGAGGAGATGCGAGCCGATCGCGAAGCTTGGCGAAACGAGTTCGAGCGAGTAACTCAACTCGCCGGCGCGCAGTACGACACGACAACCTGAGACGACGTAGTAGTCGCAACAGTTTCTCGAGGCTCCGAAACCGCGCCCACCTGAGCCGTTCGATCCAAGCGATCGAAATTCCGATGCTTGCAGATGGATCGCCGGCATGGAGATCTACTTCGCAGCCGTCGGATGGAACTCGCCAGTCTGGGGCGGTCAACGCGTACGACTCACGGCGACACTGATGCGAGGACCGGCACTCGAGTGGATCGACGGTAACAGCACCTTCATCTACGGCGAAGCCACGTGGCAGCAATTCCGCACCGACCTGCTGAAACGCTTCGAGCCGATAAATTCAGGTTTCCTTGCCCGGCAAAAAATTCATCGCCATCGAGAGTTCGGGAGTGTAACGCAGTACACGCAACAGATGGAGGAATTTTATAACCGCATTCCCGACCTGACCGAAGGGGAAAAAGTACAGTCGTATCTCGCGAGGCTGAAGACCAAACTCAAACCACAGGTAGCAGCAACAAACTACGCGAGCTATAGTGACATCGTTCCGGCAGCAGAGCGGTTCGACATGGTCAACGCCGGAACACGACGGCCGCACGTCGGCAGTACGCGACAGGGCGACCGCTCGGCTCACACCACGTTCGCCGACCCGATGGAAATCAACAGGTTCGATAGGCGGTCACGTCTGAAAAACACCAACTATACGTGTGATTTTTCTAGGGTGCCGGGCCATCGAATCTTCGACTGCAACAAAATGAAAGCCGCTTGGCAGAGTATGGGGCACGCAACAGTGGCGGAAATTCTTTGGCCAATCAGAAGACAAAGAATGGAATTCGCCAGTAATTGCGGATCTAGCTGGGGAAAAAAAAAGATACGAAAGCCGCCGCGGGATTCCGGGAAAATCGTCTTCAACGAAGCTGATTCGACGCGAGCAGGAGGAAATGATGGGGAAAAATCTCCACCCCACAACCAGTCTTCGCCAGAGAAAATCGCCGAGAAAAAACCTGACTCCGCGAAAAAGGACTCTGCCAAGACGGGGAATCTCCGAGAAGACCCAATAAATTATAAGGGTTCATTAAAGTTATCTAACAAAGATGCTTTAATGAAAACTTATAATTCGTGAGGGGCTAGAGCCTTGGAGAAATTTCGGGAGGGACTCCAGAAGAAGCAGAAACTTGTGGACATCTTACCGGTACCGGAAAACTTGGGGACCAAATTATGGAGTGTGGAAAGAAGCCGACCTTTCCACGGAGTCAACGTCCTCTCCCGACACCAGCCCACAATGACTACCCGTTCCCCAGGGAAGACGTCGGTGGAGCTGACGCAGCTCAAGAGGAAGCTGGGGGTCTACAAGAAGCTGCAAACACCCCGAAATCCTCCTCCGGATGCATCCAGCTCAGCAAATTCGGCATCAACGACACACACAGTCCTCAAGAAAGCTCAGGGTCTTGAGGGAGAGACTTTCTCCAAGCAGCCTCGGCCAGCTGCTAACCCACAAGCAGATAGCAAGAAAAAGGTGTGTACCAAATATTGGGATGTACCCTATGATCCTATTAACGAAACTATCTTTCGGTACTCCGAGCAACGCCCGCCCCTCGTGCTCGAGGTCATCTGCAAAGGACGACGCCTCCAAGCACTCCTGGACAGCGGAGCATCGCACACCGTATGCGACAAGGCAGTAATCGACCGACTTCGGAAAGAGTACAAGCCTTCAGCATTCTCTGCAACGATAGTGGATGGCAGCAAGTTAGTAGTACACGGCGAAGTAGTGTTACACCTACAAATCGGACCACTGCGCTGGAATCCTGCACTCCCCGTCACCAACATAAAAGGGCTTGACTTGATCTTCGGGCAAGACTTCCTAAAACGATTCAACCCTGAGATCAACTGATTAAATCGTACCGTAAGGATCTACAACAGTGGGAGGAGAGTCCAACTACCCAACTGGGACGATACTTTAGATATCCCAGTGAAGACACTCGCAATATTCAAGAAGGAAGTAAAACAAATAGACACCGGGTTCCTGGCGATAGCAACGGATGTGAAAAGCGACGGAGAGAAAACTTTGAAACCTCCACAAAAAATCAAGGAATTACTGAAGGAGTTCCAAGACATTCTTCCCGACAACCTTCCGAACGAGCTGTCGCCATACCAAACACACCAGCCCGAGATCGTGGAAGAACCAGGTTCGAAGCTGACCTTCCGAGCACCATATCGGCTCAGCCCCACAGAGCTAGCCGACATGAAGAAACAGATTGAGTATCTCCTCGCAAAAGGACTCATCCGACCATCCACTTCGCCATACGGTGCCCCAGTACTCTTCACACTGAAATCGGACGGAAGCCTGCGCATGTGCATCGATTACCGAGCTCTCAACAAGCAGACCATCAAGAACAAATACCCAATCCCATGAATCGATGACCTGCTTGTCCAGCTTCGGGGAGCCACGGTATTTTCCAAACTAGATCTGCGGTCCGGATACTGGCTGATACGAATGGCGGACAATTCCATCCACAAAATTGCCTTTCAAACTCGATACGGGTCGTACGAGTACCTCGTAATGCCGTTCGGACTCACCAACGCACCAGCAACGTTCCAAGCTGAAATGAACCATATTCTATGCCCACTCTTGGAGGAATGCATAGTGGTGTACCTGGACGACATCCTCATCTATTCGCGCGACATGCACCAACACGTCCAACACCTACGACGCGTCTTCGACATTCTCCGACGAGAACGATTCTACGTCAAGTTATCCAAGAGAGAATTCGCCCTCGAGAAAGTCCAATTCCTAGGACACATGGTGAGGGCTCAAGGAGTTCACGTCGACCCCAAGAAGATCAAAGCCGTACGCACGTGGAAGACACCCGAGAACGTGACTGAGTTGCAGCAGTTCCTAGGCTTCGCGAACTATTACAATAGGTTCGTGCCACAGTACGCAAAAATTGCAACGCCACTCACAAATCTGCTGAAGAAGAACACGCCCTATAAGTGGGATCCACGCCATCAGGAAGCCGTGGAGCAGCTGAAACAAGCACTCCCATCCGCACTCGTACTCATGTTGCCAGACCCCAAACGCGACTACGTCATCGAAGCTGACGCTAGCGACCAGGCAGTGGGAGCAGTCTTGATGCAAGACTAGGGGAATGGACTGCAACCAATCGCCTACCTCAGCAAGAAACTACACGGGGCAGAACTAAACTACATGGTACACGACAAGGAGGCCCTTGCTATTATCATCACCTTCAAAACGTGGAGATGTTATCTCGAAGGACGACAAACAATCGTCTACACCGACCACTACAGCCTAAAATATTTGACGACACAACCAAACCTCTCCATGCGGCAGGTGTGGTGGATTGACTTCCTTGAGACGCACTTCCACTACGACATCGTGTGCAAGCCCGGCCAAAAAAACAAAGCGGACGCTCTTAGTCGGCTTGAACACATTGCCGCAATCCAGGTCGAAGGGATGAACCCACTTCACAAGGGACTCCAGAAAAAAGTAGGAGTGCTATAGCCTCTTCCTGTCCCATAACAGCCATGGCAAGTGGTTAGCCTGGATTTCATAACCGGGTTACCAACTACCATAAGCGGTCATGACGCAATCCTTGTCGTCATCGACAAATTCTTTAGAATGGGACACTTCATCCCGACAGACACGGCAGCACACATCGAAGAAACAACACAACTATTCGTTCGCTGCATCGTCTCTCAACATGGCATTCCAACCATACTCATCTCCGACCGAGACCCCAAGTTCACCAGCAAGTTCTGGAAGGAACTAATGTCTCTACTCGGGACCAAACTCGCCATGTCATCCGCCTACCATCCGCAGACAGATGGACAGACTAAGCACCTCAACCAAATTGTAGAGCAACTTCTCCGCGCAGCATGCAAAGACGAAATCTTTAATTGGGACTTGCATCTGTCCGTCGTGGAGTTTGCCTACAACAACGTCACTCACGCCGCTACTGGACAGACGCCGTTCTTCCTCTGCTACGGACGCCACCCGCCCACGCCACAAAAACCGACAGCATAAGCTACGGTTCAACCCGCACAGGACTTCATCAGGACCATGCATCAACTTTGGGATCGGACGCACAAGTGCCTCCTCGACATTCAGCAGCAACAGAAGCGCCAGGCTGATCGCCACCGCACTGACCACGCCATCACCATGGGAGACCAAGTTCTACTTGACACCCGCAATATCAACATCATTAATCTCCCATCCAAACTGCGACCTTGCTTCTGAGGGCCCTTTCTCGTTGAAGCACACGTCACTCCTGTTACCTTCCGCTTACGCCCGCCCGCTACCTGGAGGATTCACAACGCCTTCCATGTCCAACTTCAGAAGCCCTATCGAGACTCTAACACGGTCTTCACCGGCACCAACCGCCACCGCCGCCGCTCGTCCTCGTCCACGATGAACCCGAGTACGAGGCGAGTCCATGCTCGCACACCGCCGTTGTTGGAATGGCGCTGTGGAGCTTCTCATTCGTTGGAAGGGTTATGATCCTTCTGAGGATACTTGGGTTCCTAAATCCGAGATGGGTAACGCTCGTCCTCCTCAGTCATCCCTTTCTGTCTCCTCGCCTCCTCTCTCTGACCTCCTCTGTGTTGCTCACCCTCTTGTTCCTCGTATCCTAAACTCTCTCGTAACTTTGCCTTGACTACGTCACTGCTCTGGTCTCTGACCATGCCCGTCCTAAGTTTGTCAGGGGTGCACCTGCCCTTGGCAGTGACCTCTTAGAGGATAGGCAGTATAAGCTAGCTTTTCTTGTGGAGGCCGCCCCTTATCTCTGTTCTATGCTGCTAGTTCCTAAGGGTGACCCAAATGCCTTTGACATCTCGACCCCTCGCACTTACGCCAAGGCTACTGTGGGACACTAGGCCTCTCAATGGATAGCTGCCATGGAGCAGGAGATGGCATCTTGAAGATCCACTGGCACCTACATCGACGCAGTTTCCCCACCTTGGGCGAAGGTAGTTGATGTACGGTGGCTCTTCAAGTTGAAGCGCCCAGCTGGAGGGCCGCCAATGTTCAAGGCGCGCTACGTTGATACAGGCTTCAGCCAGCGCGAGCGGGTGGACTTCTTCCAGACCACTCGCCCCTATCCCGAAGATGACCATTCTTCGGGCGCTGCTTACCATAGCAGCACAGCATGATTACGAGCTCCACTCACTTGATTTCTTCACTGCGTTCCTCCAGGGCCACCTGCACGAGCAATTCTACCTACGCCTCCCGCCAGGCTTCAATAACTCTTTCCCTCCTGGGACCCTGTGGTTTCTCCGGCGCCCGGTCTATGGCTTGCGACAGGCGCCCCATGAGTGGCACAACACGCTGCGTGCTACACTAGGGGACCTCCAGTTTGTTCCGTCCTTTGCTGACCCCTCTCTGTTTGTTCGCTCTGGCAAGACTCCGTTCTATATCATAGTCTATGTAGTCGACCTGGTCTTCGCTACTGCAGACAAAGACGCACTGGCTTCGGTGAAGGCCAAGCTACTGAGGAGACACACCTGCACTGACCTAGGAGAGCTACACTGCTACCTTGGGCTGAAAACCTCCAAGGATAGAGCAGCACGCACCATTACTCTCTCACAATTACACTTGGTGCGCCAGGTCCTTCAAAGGTTCAGCCTTCAGTTCTCCTTAGCACAGCCCTCCCCTTAGTTTGTCGATCACAGGATCTCGACTTCAGTCCGTGACAAGCCGGTCGAGCCTAATGGTCAGTACGCAGAGCTTGTGGGTTGCCTTATGTACGTGATGACTTGCACTCATCCAGATCTCGCATACCTTCGTAGTATCCTCGCATGCTTTGTTGCGACAGGCAAACACCGAACGCAGCACTGGTCGGCTGCCGAAGGGTGTTGCAATATTTGGCGAGTACATCAGGCATAGTGTTAGTGTTGGGAGGACACGGGCTAATGGTTCTCACAGGACACACAGATGCTTCATGGGCGGACGACGTTGAGACGCTCAAGTCCTCTCAGGGCTACTGCTTTAGCCTTGGTGCAGGTGCTACAGTCTAGCTGTGAGGTTGAGATCTACGCTGGTGCCATGGCCGCATAGGTGCTCCGCTGGCTCACGTTTTTGCTGACAAACTTAGGTGAGTGGCCTAGCTCTGCCCCGGTCCTGTACGCTGACAACATGGCCATGATCCTCCTCTATCAGGAGGCTCGACTAGAGGGCAGAGCGAAGCACATCCAGCTGTGGTACTTCCTCCTGCGCGAGCTACAGCAATTGGACCAAACACGTGTAGTACACTTGGCTTCTGGTGCCAACATGCTGTAGCTGAGATCTTTGCTAAGCTGCTTGCGCTTAAAGATCAGCGACACTGTTTACAACTTGATGTGGTTCCAGTAGCTCCTCACTTGCTAGGACCCTGAATTGTATACTCCTTATTATATTATCTTGCGTGTCTACACTTGCTGACTGGCCTTGTGGCTCTCGTCTCAGAGGTTGGACTATAACTATTGCCCTGAGTTACCGTTGTTGATTTAGTACTCTTGCTAACAGGTCTTCGGACCCCTGCCTCAGAGGTTGGACTAGTAGTGCTGCCCTGAGCTTCATGTTTCTTGCTAGGCAATGGGCATTGCCCCTTATCTAGCATAGGGGGTGTGTCAACGTATACATATGTGTTATATGTATAGTTATAGGCTAGATGTGTAAGTACTCTTAGAGAGTACAACACCAACTCATATATTCCACCTGAATGCCTTGCTAGAGTTCATTTCGCTATTCTAATACATAGCTGCTGTAGTGTGACTGCTAAGAGCGTGTTCGTACGGCCTCTTCCCATGTAACCTCTTCCCAGACTCGCGCCCTACAGTGCAATGAAATTTGACGCGAAATCAATGCAAATCAGTTCAATGCGGTTCCACGTGGTGGACCGCGAAGTTAACGTGTAATTGGGCTCGACATTGCCGAGATTCAGGCTAGAGCGACGGGTTTGGGAAGAGGTTGGCCTGGGAAGAGGTCGTAGGAACATGCCAGGCCCCTAGATATTAGCCTTTTTACGCTGATTCAGCATTTTTTCAGCCTTTTTTGCTTGTACCTACGCTGATCTGTAAGACTTTTTGAGATAGGTAAGGCTGACAAATTCAGCCATTTTTCAATATATTTTCAGCGTTTTTGTTGGGGTGTAGGCTGAGGTTTCAGCGAAGTCTCTGGGGGGGAGTTTGAAACCGAGTAATGCAAGATTTGTGTCCCCCCATGATTACCGCATCCAGTCACACACACCCCCAGGAAAATTTCCTCTAAGTCCTCGACTAGTCACACTCCTCTCATACCCTCCGCTCGGCAACCCAAAAGATTTTGTGCAAGTCCTTGGAAACCAATCACACCTCCCTCATACCCTCGGCAACAGCTATGCTTTTTTTGAAGTCCTCGGTAACAGTCACAACCCTTTCGTAACCCCCGCAACCTTGGAGAATTTGTGCTCCTTGGCAACCAGTGATACCCCTCATACCTCCCCTCCACTCAGAGAGTCGAAGGCTTTGTTCGGTAGGCAGGGAATACGTATTCCGTGGAATCCTCCCTACTAGAACAGTGCCGAGGGAATATAAAAGAGGTTGGTGCGATAGTCGTTGACTTCAAACCCGATGCGCGACAACAGAACGCGATCCCAAGCCTATGGAGTCGCAGGTAGGCGTGCCTCCAGACTAGAGCGGTTTCTCACCTGGTTCCATCCACGGATTCCCCCCCTCCCGCAACTGCCGGCCGCCTGGCAAAATCCGATACCGCACCGATTCTTGGGGTCCTGGCCGGACCACCAAGAATCTGGATTTGTATCCCTCGTTATTGGTCAGAGTAAACGGCCTTTGCAGCCCTTCCCCCCATGGGGCGATGTTGGGGGGCTGTTCCACCAAAATCGCACACGTGGTGCTTGACATGAGGAGACTGCCACAGCAACCCGGATGGTAGGGGAGTGAACACCCTCCAAGCCGAGGGTCAAGGCTACCGGCCTCCACGATTCTTGGAGGGCATGTATTCGCATCCGTATTCCACCCTGCATATCGAACAAAGCCGAAGTCTCGACTCTTTGACTCTCCAACGGTAGCCCCCTGTGCCAGTCACGCTAGTCCCCTGTCCTGGGGTGGGACGGCGCCACGCTGCCACGCAAGCAACTTGGCTTCCCTGAGGTGGTTGGCACGCAAACACCTCAAAATTTTAGGGCGTGGCACATTTGTCTGAGTTCGGCATCATTTTCAATCGACCCAGCACCAAGCCAGCACTGTAATCGCATGTTTCGATATGTTACTATGCTAATAATGATATGAGATAAGGACGAGAGCTTTGATCTATACGCTTGCACTGAAACTCCTCTCGTCAATTTCACCAACATGCCACCCTAAAAAGCAATCCTGCTCTTGCGAATCCTACACGGACACGCTCAAAGGGTTTCTGCGTATCCAAGTTTCTCACCGAAAGGGTGATTGGTGCATCGAAGTAGAGATTGGTGCTGGGGAATCACTTCCGAAGTGATTCCGTGGGACCGGTATTTTCACCAAACCAGCCAATACACGCTAATGTGCCACGCCCTTATATCGCACCACATTACTGGCAATTCAAGTGCTTCAGGGCAGCACTTTGGGGCATCCTGTCCATGGTTGATATCGAAAAATATGGAGTCTTGGACCATCTCGGCCGTATACGGAATGCCCCGAAATCCTGCCTAGAAGTTTGCCTCGAGGCAAGAACACGCCCTCCGGCAAGCGTCAACTTCGCTATTGAATGTCTGCGCTTTATTCCTGAAAGACCGTTCAGAATGTGCATCAGACTTTTTTTTTTAACTAACGCTGAACTATCAGAAAAAAAAAAGAGGTAAGGCTGCAATTTTCAGCCTTTATTCCAGGGGCAAGGCTGCAAAATCAGCCTTGTTGTGGGGGGCATGGATGATGAATCAGCGTGACCCAAAACGAATCTTAGGGCCTGGAACACGCTCTAAGTGCCCGATGTTCCGTTAATAGTGAAATGTCGTTACGAACATCATTACATGTTGTCTGAAAAATCAGACTGGTCCACGATTCGATTGAAATTCCAGACCAGCCTTGAAAATCTGTCTGACGATCAGAAGAACCTCTAGGACCCTGTCTCGTTCTCAGACTGCCCTAAAAAATAGCCAGAGCCCTGTTAGTGACTCTCACTATACCGCACCATCATCACCACCCCTTAGACCAGCACATACTGCTGAATAATGTTCGCCACGTGCCCTGCAATCACTTGCACCTCCTGCTCTGTGCCTCCTTCCACTGCACCCTAGTGTCAACATATTTATATACTGTTATAGACTAGATAGGTGCATGCTTATGGAGAGTACAGCACCATAGCACAAACCTGTCTGTATGCCTCATTCTAGTCATTGCGTTATTCTGAGATGGTATCATGCTAGGTTAGGTCCCCCTCCCCACTTATGCTTCCGCCCCTAGCCCTAGCCCTAACCCTAGCCCGTGTCCTAGCCGTGCCCTAACCCTAGCCGCGCCCGCGCCCGAGTCGCGCCCGCGCCCTAGTCCGCGCCGGCCCCATCCCTCCGCGCCGGCCCCGCTAGTCCTCGCCGGCCCCGCTAGTCTGTGCCGGCCCCGCCACTTCGCGCCGGCCCTGCTAGTTTGCTCCGGCCCCGCTAGTCCATGTTGGCCTCGTCCCTTTGCGCCGGCCCTGCCACTCCGCGCCAGCCCCGTCCCTCCGCGCTGTCCCCGCTAGTCCGCACCGGCCCCTAGTTCCTAGCGTCCGCCCTAGTCCCTAGCTCACAGCTGGCCCGCAGCTCGCCGCTGGCCCCTTGCTCGCCCGCTGGCCCCTAGCTCGCCTGCTGGCCCCTAGCTCGCCGCTGGCCCTTCGCGCACCGTGCGAGCCCTCGCCTGCTGGCCCCTCGCTCGCCGCTGGCCCTTCGCACGCCACGCAAGCCCTAGCCTGCTGGTCCCTAGCTCACTCGCCGGCCCTAGCTCGCTCGCCTCCCCTCGCGCGCTCGCTGGCTCTAGCTCGCCGGCCCTAGCTCGCTGTGTTAATTGCACACCATCATGAGTGCATATCATCCTAATGTCCTGCCGTATGATCATCTCATTCGTGCATGCATGTGTGCATAAGCATATATCACATTGCTCGCCATCTTGGATATTCTCATCATCCTGATTTTCTCCCAAGATTGAATGCATGGAAAATGCAGGAGAAAGCGTGAGCATTCCAACGACCCCAAGATCGCCCCAATCCGACCGATGATGCCGAAGTTACAAGAATTCCAAGATTGGAAGTTCTAATGACAAATGCTATACCTCGGGTATCTCATGGGTCTTCTTATAATGGGGATCTTGTGGTTAGATGGTTGGGGAGAAAACTTTGACTTTTGGTTGGGGTGGCTTGGTTGCTACAAGCCAAAATGTGCAAGTGTTGCAAATGTTGCAACGTCTTGCCAAATCCAATCTCTTTGGATTTGGCATGTGTCCTCACATGGGCAACTTGGAGAGGGGCCTATGGTGTGCTTCTAGGAAGGTTCTAAACCATTCCTAGACATCAGGAAACCTTGTTTCCCTTCCAGGGCCCTCTTAGAGGTCTGAACCCCGAACCATGTCTATATGGTTGTGTGTCTTGCAAGTTCTATCTACTTTCTAAGGCAACGACCAGCAGTTACGTTTTGATTCAGTTCTCACTCTAGAGTTAATCTAGTGTTCGTGCAAAGTAGGCCGATCCTATCAACAAGTGGTATCAGAGCGAGTACCTATCTTTGCGACGACGAATCGTGGTCATTTCTCAACCAATGTCGACGAGTAAGACCTGTTTCGAGTAGCTCAGGTTACGAGCTTTCTAACGAGCCTATTCTCATGTCTTTATGCAAAGGCGTGTGTTCGTGGCGGCGTTTCTTGTAAAGCTGAACATTCTGCCAGAATTTTGTCAGATTCGATCTGTTACGATTTCTTCATTCCTAGAGCTAGCAGATGCCGAATAGAGGCTCTGTAGGTGCTGAGGGCGAGATGGCACGCTGAGGGAGTAAGGGGGAGCATCTGGTGATGGTGCTGGAGCTTCACAACCGAGGGGAGAAGCTCAACAGCTTTCACTACCCACGTTATCTACTCCATCTCCACCATCCAGCCCTACCGTGGATCCTATGAAGGCTTTCTCAATTGAGAAGTTCATAGGGGAGGGATTTGAGCAATGGAGCTTTCGAATGCGTCTCATGTTTACGCATTATCATCTTCTAGAGCTCGTGGAGGGAAGGGAGAAGATGCCGGAGAACGCGGATGCCCGTGGCTCATGGATAAAACGCTCGTTCGACACGTACATGCTCTTGGTGCAAGCGGTTGGAGGGCGCCAGTTGGATCACATCAAGGAGCTGCTTGGAGATCCCGAGTGTGGACCAAAGGCATGGAAGAAGCTGCAAGATATCCACTCACCAACTCACGCGACCGGCATTGTGCTATTGGCGCGTCGATTGCGCGACATCAAATTCGTGGATGGAGAGCCAATGCAACCGGTTTTGGATGAGATGCGGGATATCTTCTCCAAATTGCAAGCGGGAGGCTTGGTCTACCCTGAGCTCGTGCAGTGTATGGAGATTGTCATCGGATTGCCGGAGTCTTGGTCTGCTCTTGCTATCAACCTCAACTCTCAGCAATCCCAGTGGAGCTTGGAGTACATTCGCGCACGGATCTCGGAGGAAGATCTACGGCGACAGAGTGTGGATCGCTCGGGGGATGCTGCTGGTTATGGAGTTGGAGGAGGGAGGAGTGGTTTTAAGAAGAAGTGGAAGGGCAAGAAGAATGACAACTCTCAGGAGGAGAGTACTGGAGGTCAAGACAGGAGCCAAGGAGATGTATGCTTCTATTGCAAGAAGCGCGGTCATCGCTGGAGAAAGTGCTATCAATGGCCTAAGGACTGGACCCCACCTTCATGGACCAATCAGCAAGGAGGCAAAAGGAGTGGGGGAGTTATGGGAGCTGGTGGAGAGGAGGATGAGGAGGAGAAAGGCGGCAAAGTGGGTGAGCAGCGGCCCGGTTTCTTCTTCTTTGTGAACGAGGGTGCTGCGGATCCAGCAATGGCTGCCAAGGTTCTTCTACATCCGCTATCTCATTGGGTCATTGATTCTGGAATCTACCGAAGGGGCGACGAGCCATCGGCAATAAGTGGGTCTTTAGGACTAAGACCGGAGCTGATGGCGAAGTGGAGCGGTACAAGAGCCGTTTAGTTGCCCAAGGGTTTGAGCAGAAGGAGAAGGAGGATTACAAGGAAGTGTTTGCATCTGTTGCTAAAGCACGAACCTTGAAGACCTTGCTGGCCATTGCTGCTGTGAAATGTTGGAGTGTGAAGCAGATGGATATCATCACTGCATTCTTGAATGGGGTGGTGGTGGAAGACATATATATGGAGCAACCAGTTGGATATGAAGATGGGACTAGCAGAGTGTGCAAGCTTAAGAAGGCAATCTATGGACTTAAGCAGGCTCCAAGGTGTTGGTATGAGAAGCTAGCAGAAGTGCTCCTTGCTGGAGGCTTCAACACCTCTCAAGCTGACCACATCTTATTTCTGCTTGGTGAGGGGGAGCAGCAGTTGTGCTTGCTTATCTATGTAGATGACATCTTGCTGTTCTCCCCAGCATGCTTTCACAAGCACTTGGCCACTCATCACTACCGTTATCCACACAATAATCTTGACATCAGCCATCCTCCATCCAAGCTTCAACCTTCTTTCTGCGGGTCTATCATCGTTGAAGCAAAGGTCACTTTAGTCAACTTCCGCTTCCGCCAACCAGCCACTTGAAAGATCCATAACGCATTCCATACCAGCATCTTAAACCCTATCAAGACCAAACACGCTCTACACCGAATGCCAACCACCATCGCCGCCCGTGTTCGTCCACGACATGGGACAACTACGTGCTCGGACACTGTCATCATCAGAATGGCACTCTAGAACTTCTTCTTTGCTGGAAGGGTTCTGATCCTTCTCAGGCTGCATCTGTGAACTCGACATGGGTAATGCCCGTTGTCCTATTCGCGACCACCTTGTCAAGCAGGGTGGTACTTCTACCACCCAGCTTTGAGGGGGGGAAGTGTGAGAGTACGACACCGTTACACCAATTTCCCCTTTCCATGTTTCCTTTCTATTTCATTCCTCATTTGGTCTTTATCTCATCTCATTTTGTTTCCTATTCCTCATTTTCTATTATCCCTTGGTTTGTCATGTTATTATAATTATCTCACCAACCAGGCTCGGATGTACTGGCGCGCTATATCTTGTGTAATCCTGCCGTAATCCCTTAAAGCCAATAGCCTTGCGTGGGTATACGCAGGGTGATTCTATTTCTAGAAGGGTCTATTCCCTTTGGATAGGATAAACCTGGTTACCTGATGTACTATGGAAGTATAAAAGCACCTTGTACTGATTGATAGTGCAACATTGAGCAAACCTCATTTGATCCTGTGACACCCTGCGTCGCTCCCTACTCTCCCTTCCTTGCCTGCTCTTCTGTGCACGCCCTGCGTTGAGGTCCGGCTGCGCCATGCTCCTCACTCCTCCAAGCTTCCCCCTACCACTTCGCCACTCCAGACCCTGCACTTAGATGTTTGGGGCCCAGCCCCCGTCCCTGGGCCGCGTCAAGAGTGCTACTTTCTAGTTCTTGTCGACGACTACACACGCTACACCCCGGTGTTTCCCCTAGAGCGGAAGGCTGACGTGCGTGATGTTCTTATCCCGTGGGTTGTAGCTGCTCGAGTCCACCGTGGCCTCCCTGTGCTGCGTCTTCATGCCGACCGTGGTGGTGAGTTCGCGTCCGGTCAGCTTGGCCAGTTCTTTCGTGCGAAGGGCATCACCCAGTCGTATACCCTGCCGGACTCCCCGCAGCAGAATGGGGTCACTGAGTGACGCATCGGTTTGGCCATGGAGGAGGCTCGTACCTCCATGATCCATAGCTCGTGCAGGCTCATACCTAAGTGCCACTCATCACTCCATGATCCACTCAAGCGTGAGTGACCATAGACTATAGGGCGAAGTAGGCTCCACTGGGTCCCTGGAGCAAAGGACTCGGTGAAGCCTAGTGGGCGCCACACGTATTTCTGCTCGTGTAGGCTGCCGTGCAAGAAGGCTGTCTAGAAGTCCAAATAGTGGAGTTAGTAGTCACACTATGCAGCTATGTGGAGGAGCACCCATAGATTAGTCATCTTCGGGGTGGGGAAGATGGTCTAGAAGAAGTCCACACCCTCATGCTGGCTGCAGCATCTGGCCATATACAGCGCATTGAACTGCAGCTCCTCTCCAGATGGGCGCTTCACCTTATAGATCCACATGTCATCGACTATGTTCACCCAAGGAGGAAAAACTGCATCGATGCAGTTTCTCGGGCCATCGTCGCTGCTATCGCTGACTTTGCTGCAAGCCACCGCCTTGACTACACCTTCGCTATGGTCTCTAACCCTGCCCATCCTCCGTACGTCTGGGGTGCACCTGCCCTTGGCAGTGACGTCCTAAAGGATAGGCGGTATGAGCTGGCTTTCCTTACGGTTGCTCTACCCCGTCTCTGCGCCATGCTAGTGTCTCCTGAGGGTGACCCGGAAGCCCTAAAAATCCCTACCCCACGCTCGTAGTGGATACAGGTGATAGAGGTAGAGATGGCATCTTATAGAGCCACTGGCTCTCCACGACCCCCAACACCACCACTGCCACCGCCAGTATTCTCCAACTCAGCATCCCAAAAACTAGCACCCCCTGAACCTGCACCCCCAGAGTCAGCGCCCTCGGAACAACCACCCCCAGACCCATCATCCCCAGAGCCAGCACCCCCAGAGCAAACACCCCCAGGGCCCATGGTCCCCCGCCGCTTCTGCTGCAGCTGCAGCTGCGGTAACCTCTGCGGCGGCAGCTGGTGCCGCAGCGATGGCTGCAGCGGCTGCTGCTGCTGCGGCCGCCGCAGTGGGGGAGGCGGCTGAGGTGCTTGGGGTACCGGGGCTGGGGGGAGGGGCAATGCAGCTGCTGCTGGCTCACCCCCAGCCATGGGGCTCCCAGGGTCAGCAGAATCTCCTACGGACCCAACCGAGGAGTATGGCGTGGGAGACACCAGACGGGGCCGGGCGGGGTGAGAGAGGAGCGACAGGCGGGGCAGGGACAAGGAAGACAGGGGGAGGAGGAACATGAGTGCGACGGTGAGGGAAGCAAGAGTAGTAGGAGATAGACTCGTCAAAAGCAACATCACGGGAGCGAAAGATCGGCTGCCTTGTTACACTTGCTAACTAGCCTTCTTGCCCTTGTCTGAGTGGTCAGACTAGTAGTGATGCCGTAGATTGCTGTATCTTGCTAGAATCTGCCCCTACACAGGCTTAGGTGTGTGATAGAGTTCCTATATATATATACATATATATACATATATATATATATGTACATATCTACAGTGACAGAATTTTTTGGCCTTGAAATTGTGGTCTTTGATGATAAAAGCATGTTACGCTATTTATATTGTATGCTACTAGTACTCATGGGCCACACACATTCTGCCTTAGGGCGTTAGGGCTCAAACACAAATATGTCTTATAATTAATATCGAGATTACACAAACGTGTAAACAATTTTAGGTAACTCACTCGATTCAGACAATTACCACCCACCGAGAGCCTAGACCGAGTTCTTTCCTGCATTTCTCGCTCGAACTAGGTTTCGCACGTAGAGCTTCACGATACCCTTCCTGAAGTCTTCGCCAAGCTCCCTGCCACGATGCGTCCGATAAGAACGCGTATTAAGGACCGACTCTTGACCCTGCTTCATCAGGGTCGTAGTTTTCGTCAGATTGCGAGCATGTTAGGGATAGGGAAAACTACAGTTCAGAAATATGCGGAACAGGCATCCCAGCGCACCAGCCGCCTAGCAATACGACCAACGGTACCTCGATCAGGCGGCCCTCGTTTGCTTTCGGTGCGTGACCGACGATGCCTTGTGCGTTCCGTGACTTCAGGGGCTGTCAAAACGAGTGTAGAGGCCGCAAAACAGTTAGATTTAGTACAGTGCATTAAGGTCTGCCCGCGCACAGTACGAAATGCCCTGAAGCTGTCAGGGCTTGTTGCTGTACAGCAACCGAGGAAGCCACGTCTTTCGGCGAGTAACATCCGAGATCGCTTGGCATTTGCCCGTGCACACCTAGACTGGACTATCGAGGACTGGAAGCGGGTGATCTGGTCGGATGAGACCAAGATCAACCGCTTTTGCAGCGATGGCCGCAGCTTCGCTTGGATCCGCGATGGCGCGGCTCTTCAAGCGCATCAGGTGAAGCAGTGTGTGAAGCATGGGGGCGGGTCCATAATGATATGGGGATGTATGACCTATGATGGCCCCGGTTTTATGTGTAAGATCGAAGGGCGCATGGATGGGCAGCTGTACCGTGCGATTTTGCAGGATGAGCTTGCTCAGACTATCGATTTCTACTCTCTAACCGCCAGTGATGTTATTTTCCAGCAAGATAACGACCCTAAGCACAAGAGTAGGCTTGTGCAAGAGCTTCTTTCTGAGCAGGAATACTCAGTCCTGCAGTGGCCTTCCTCCTCCCCAGACCTAAATCCAATCGAACACCTATGGTCTCACCTCAAACGTGAGCTCGCCAAGTATGAGTACCCCCCTTCAGGCATGCTTCAAACTTGGGAGCGAGTGCAGGAGACGTGGGAGAGTATTGGAGCAGAAGTCTGTAGGGGATTGATAGATAGTATGCCTAGGAGGGTGAAGGCCATTGTTAGGGCAAAGGGTAGATGGACTAGGTACTAATTTTGGACAATGTTATGCCTTGTTTGAAATGGGGACTATTTGTCCTAATGTACATCCATGTATATAATGCTATGAACTTTGGCATAACAAAACCTAATATGGCTAGTGTTGGCATTTTACGTGTGCTGTTGCCTTTGTCTACCAGGCCATTAAAGCCTGTCACATTATTAACTTCCCAATAATCAGCAACTGACAATTTTCCATAAAATTGCCCAACATGCGGACAATTTCTGCCGTCACTGTATATGTAAATATTTGTGTGTCACTTTTATATGAACTATAGCCTAGATAGGTGTAGTATATGTCATAACTCAGCCACTAACCACTGAGTTAAAAGGGCTTGTTAATAGTGGGTCAGTGCGCCCATAGCCCCCCAGGCTCTGCACCTGTGGCCCTTCCCCAAGGATCTTCTCAAGGGTAACCCCAGCAGGTCTCTCAACACCCCCCCTTGCTGGGATAGGCGGAGGACAAGAGAGCCTCTGGAGCACTAACACCTCGAATTGAACCCAAGTCATCAACGCTCTAATAGCATGTAAGAAACTCAGCCACTAACCACTGGGTTAAAAGGACTTGTTTATTGCAGGTCAGTGCGCCCATAGCCCCCCAGGCTCTGCACCTGTGGCCCTTCCCCGAGGATCTTCTCAAGGGTAACCCCAACGGGTCTCTCGACAATTATATAGGATACAACACCTTGATACAATCCCTATCCTTGCCCTTGCCCTAGTCAACTCTTTCTCTCACGATAGTACGGTATGTTCTTTCGTAAGTCACACATGTTTTATAGCACATTCTTTAATTCTCATGCATTTTCTTGAAAGACATGAAGGGGGTGTGGGGGACTACCGTGTGATCCTCTATCGAAGAAACTCGATGTACAATGTCGAGCACATCATTTGGCATTGCATGGTGGCAGCATGGCATCGTGTGCAAAAGCTCTCAGAGTAGAAAAGTTTACTAGAATCAGGCATACTGGTTGATTGTGTTCAAGTCTTGTACCCTCTAAGAGCACGCACCTATCTAGCCTATTATGACATATACAAATATGTTTCACACACCCCCTAGGCTAGATGAGGGGCAGTGCCTAGAAGTCAACACACAGCTCAGGGTGGCACTACGAGTCCAACCTCTGAGGTAAGGGTTCGAAGACCAGTCAGCAAGAGTACAAACAAGATAAGAGCAAACAGGGCAGCAGTACTAGTCTGACCACTAGTCTGACCACTAGTCAGAAAGGTATATATTAAAAGAAGTACACAATCAAGGCCCTAGCAAGTGAGTGTCTGCAGGAACTAGACCAAGCTACAAACAGTGCCGCTAATGTTCTTTAGGCGCAAGCACCTTAGTAAAGATATCAGCTGTGTTGGCACCGAAGGCCAAGTGTACTACGCGGGCCTGGCAACGCTGCTGAAGCTCGCGCAGGAGGAAGTACCGCAGCTGGATGTCCTTCGCTCTGCCCTCCAGTCGAAGCTGCTGACACAGGAGGATCATGGCCCTGTTGTCAGTGTACAGGACCGGGG